AAAAAAAAAAAACGAATGTCATGAACCTGAACTCGAAACATCTTAATTATGTAAAATACAGTAAAAATCACTTACAGTGTTTTTAATTTGGTCATATTAGTGAGAGACACAGGCAACTCTCCCGTGAGATTATTAGCGCGAAGATAGCTGTAGTTAATTACCCATGGCATGTCAAAACTTGTAGCTTGTTATGTTCAACTTGGTTATGAAAATCAAAGAATGTCAAACTATGAACTTTGGAAAAAGAAAAATCCCACTGACAGAATCTCCATGTTAATCAACTTCCCCAGCTCCGGAGGAATGGTTCCAGAAAATAAGTTGCTTTCCAAGGCCCTGAAAGATAGTCACTTCAAGTTCGCAGCCAAACCAAACCAATTGGTACAAAAGTAAATGTAAATGAGATAACAGCAAGTGAGAAAGATTGAAAGCATACAAAGCTTGGAGAGTAAAAATGTTTCCCAAATAGCTAGGGATTGGTCCTGATAAGTTGTTCACGCTGAGAACCCTGCACCATGTACATTCCATTAGTTCAATCATTGGCACGAAAACTACTAATTGACAACCTCAAACATGAGTGTAGATGCCACTTACAGAAATTCCAACTTCGTAGAAGTCCATTCGTGCGGTATGGAACCACCAAGGTAATTCTGGCCCAGATTACTATGAACAAAGAAAAAAGAGTGCTATTAATTCGGATAAGAACCAACAGATTTGAGATGGTAAAAGCTGAAGCAGTTATTGAAAAGCTCTGCTCTTCATACAGTTGCTTAATGTAAGGTAGCTTCACCAGTGCTGGTGGAAGCACACCATCAAGTTCCTGTCCCACAAGAAAACTGCACGACAAGGATCCAAAAAATCAAAGGTTGATTCTTGACAAATCACTCCAAACAGAATCAGCAACCATCATATTTAATTAGGAAAATGAATTTATGAATGAACCAGTGCAGCAAGAATTTAATGCATACAAATGGCAAAAATATATACATACATGCTTTGGATATGGCACACATTGCCAGGGAAGGAGCAATTGCAGAAGAGAGTGTTGTTGTACTGATCTGTATGTGGGGTTGAGAAAGTTGGAACATTGCTACACGGGTCGCTAAAATTCCAGTCCTTTTTATGCAGTTGTGCAGCTATTTCACGAAGGGCTTCAACTGCCATCACACCCACATAAAGCAAAAATCCCATCAACAAAAATCCCACCAAGGGTTCCTTCTATTTTTATTTTTATTTATAATAATAATAACAAAAAAAAAAAAA